CTGAACTGACATCCAGCCGCTTGACGTGGTCCTTGGTGCCCCTGATGGTTGGACCCCCTCCAGCATAGTCGCCTGCTATTATGTAGATCGACTCTTCGTTAGTGTTCGAACTACTAGCAGGTTGGGCTTTCTTTTTGGACGCCTGCCCATGATTCGTCTGCAGGGTCGCCTTAGACCTCTGAATATAAGACTTCAGCACCCCTTTATCAGCCAGACGGTCCAACAGCCGCTTGAGACTGTAGCAGTCGTTGGTGTCGTGGCCAATGTTCTCATGGAAATGGCAGTACTTATTTTTGTTTCAGCTTTTGGCGGAACCTTTCACAACACCTGGCTTCTCTATAGTCACCCGGTCTTTGATCTCCATGAGGATGGAGTAACAGTCTTTGTTAAACTCGTACTTTGGGACGTACGGTTTAAACTCTTTCTTTTTCTTCTGGGACGGCTATTCAGAGTCGTCTGCTGCCCAGATCTCTTTTCTCTTTTTATTCTCTTCGTTTTTAGCTGGCTGAGTTTGCCGACTCTCTTTTTTGTCAGACTTCTAAGAGTTCGATTGTTTGCTGATGGAGCAGAGTTCGGTCGCCTGTATATAGGCTTTCGCCTCCATCAGAGCTTGTTGGAGGGTAGCTACCCTCTTCCTAACGGGGTCAAACTTAAAAGTCGAATCGTCCTTCAGACCCTTAAAGAAGTCTATATAGGCCACCTCGTTAGACAGCCCTTGAATCTGGATCTTCACCAGATTGAACCGCCTGACATATGACAGTAGCCCTTCTCTATCCCCATGCTGCACTGCACCCAAGTCAGACTTGTTTTCTTAGCAGAGATATTCATAGAGAAGTTAGAAGCAAACAAGTACACAAGCGTCTTGAAGCTATTGATGTAGCTGGCTGGCAAGTTGTCGAACCATTGTTGGGCGATGCCCTTCAATGTAGCCGGGATGCATCGGCACTAGGTGGCGTCATCCAACCCCTACAAGTACATGAGGTTGGTATAAACCATTAGTTGATCTTCTGGGTTGGTGGTACCATCATAGGCACCCACCATAACATTTTTTAACCTTGGCCGGTTGTGCCGCCTCGGTTATCTCCTTGGAGAACGCAGAAGGTTGTTCCCCAAGTTTTAGCAAACGGAGCTGCCAGTCCAAAGGTTGGACGTTTTGTGCCGCCTGTCCCCCAAAGAGGGTCGGCTGCATGTAAGGTTGTCCATACGGCATGTATGGCTGCTGAGGCACATACGGGGCCAAATGGATTATCTGAGGGCTAGTGTGGACTAACAGGCCGCCTGACTGACTCTCTCTTGCAGATTGAGAATACCTCATTGAGGTATTCTGGAAGCTATCTCGGTAACTCGACGTTGAAGCCAACTCAGACAATTATTGGTTTTTCTTCTGCTCGATTAGCATCCGGGCATTAGAGTATGACTTCTTTAAGCCATCCGGCTAGACATGACGGATGACCTTCCTCTTCCCTGTCTCAGGGAATCGATCAAAGGCCGCTTCCCCTCCTTTGATTTATGATGCGAAGTGGGCTTTTGGTCCCTGACCGGCTTGTTCTTCTCAGAGGGAGAAGGTTTCTTGGCCGACTGACCCCTGTTGGAGCCAACCGTCCTCTGGTTGATCAGGTCCTTTATCTCCCTCTTGAAACTAGTCATGATTTTCATGAGTTCGTCTCGAGTGACTAGGGTTACGCCTTCCGCCGCCTACTGTTGTCCTGAAGACTGTCCGGATGACTTACTGGGACCAGCCTGATCATCGCCCCGTTCCATTCTTTCCTTGGGAAGGGTGCGCCTGGTTCTGAGTGACCCATCAGCGGCCACATACGTTTCGACTTCAAAGTCGTCATCAGTGTCATGGTCCGAAAAGACCTCAAATTCGACCGTAGGCCGTTTCTCATTAGGAGGCGGTACAAGTTCTTGTAAAGCCATCTTAGAGGTACTCTCCCCACAGACGGCGCCAAATGTTTTGGGGTTTTCTGTGTCCCTCGGGAGAGTTACGTTACTAAGACTGGATTCCGAGAGCTTGTACCTGCAAAACAACAGAGACTCCGGTTGGGTGGAATTCCACCTCCGACGACCAAGTTAGAACGCGTACGGAGAATGTAAAAAAGTGCGGAAAGTAAAGTGGGATCTTCTCGGATTCCGAGATCGAGTGTTTTCTCTGTTGAGATAATTAAATGCTTTTGAATAATTGAATGCGTAATTAATGAACTGTCCAATCTGTCCTCCAAGGGGGGTAAATCTCCCCATTTGTAGGGTCATTGGGATTTATGCCTTGTTCTAGGTTACAGAAACCTAGGACTGATGGGTTGCGTCGCTTTCTGGCAATCTAGGGAATTGGGCCTGAAGGCAGTCTTTTTCCCTGCTGACAGGGAGTGCCATGTGTCAACTGGGGATAGGTTCATTTAGAACCTCTCCTAGGGTGACACGTGTCACCTTCCGATTCGGCCACGTGGCATAAATATTTTTACCCAAAACAAGATTAGCACTACATAATCGCGCATGTTCATGATAGCACCTACACCCTTGCTATGCGGGGCTCCAAGTTGGAGACCAAGCCTCTTTGTTTTCGATGGCCTCGCGCTCTTCTTCTTGAGTTCTCCTTGTTGGATTGTCCTCTTCTTCCACAATTTGACTCACTTGAGCCTCCTTGTCTAGTCATATGATGCGACGCACCTTTGTTGCCCAGCTAAAGTTTCTATCCAACAGCAACACCCTATATTTTACCATGTCGATCCCACACGACAATGGTAACATGGCTCTGATACCACCTGTCAACTGGTAACTACTCGGCCTAGTCACACATCATGTGCCACATGCTTACAGTTTATCGTAAGATGAGTCAGACTTTCCCCTTGACACTACTCCTTGTGCCCAATGTAGCACGTTCCTCTTGTGCTCGAAAATGTTCCTGGTAGCACACCGTTCCCTTAGTTGAACTAAGCACTCTTCTTTAGTGCCTTAGTCTGAATTTACGACTAAGTGTCATTGACAATTGAGCACACATGCAAGCTAAGACCCTTGCTAATATGCCCGAACACTTATTTGGAGCTTTCATGCCTTAGTTTCCTCACACACTCTAAGTGGATGAAGGAAGAGATTGAGTTGCAAGAGAACACAAATGCTTTGAGAATGCTTCTTGTATTGAACTCTCAACTTGTAAGTTACTCAATTTGGGTTGTACAAATGAGTCTTGAATCTTATTTATGTGTTCCATCCTACTTACAAGGTTTCTCTATATTCTTCCTAATCTCCTCAAATGGAGAATTCTAGACTACAACCATCTAGGATTAATGTGTGCAATGAAATTAATTTTACTAAACTTAAATTATTTATACTGATTGTCTATTATATTTCTTCTTTGAAGTTACTTAATTTTACTAAATTAAACTTATTTTTAGTAAACAGAAATAAATTGAACTTATTTTTACTGAATTGAAATTATTTTTAATTAATATCATTTTTTAAGGTGAAGTGAACGAGGCCTATGTCTTTTTTAATTTTAAATACTAATATTAATTAGTTTATATGTACTAAAGTATATATTGTCTTGCATGAATTAATGAAGATAGTGGGTAAAATGTTAGGGTAAAATGTTATTTGGATAACCCGTTTAATAAGATGATTAGGTTTTGGTCAAGGGTTTTCAACCCATTTAATAAATGGGTTAAGTTTGAATCAAGGGTTTATTAACGACACAAACACGAACCCGACGTGACCTGACCTGACCTGTTTAACAGCCCTAGTTATATGGGTTTTAATATAGGGATTTGTGCAGGAAGTAACATATGCATGTAGATCTATAAAAAGTTGTTTGCATTCTAATTTGAGAGACTTGTGAAGAATGTTTTAAAAACCAATATAGGCGGAAAATAATTCAAAATTATTTTCCATGCATGAAATAATGAGGTTTCTAATATCAAATTTTAGGTAGGAAGCAACATATATTGAAAACTCTATTAAAATTTGTTGCATTCTTATTTGACAGACATGTAGAAAGTGTTTTAAAAAACCAATTTAGGGGAAAAAAATAATTCAATTTTTTTTTTTTCAGAGCTTAAAGTTATGGGGTTTTTCAATATCAGAATTTGTGTAGGACGCAACAAATATTATAAAATATATAAAAATTTATTTGCATTCAGATTTGACAAACCTGTAGAGAATGTTTTAAAAACCAATTTAGGAGAATAAATAATTCGAAAATGTTTACCAAGCACAAAATTAAATAGGTTTCTAATATATAGATTTGTAAAAGAAGCAACATTTATGAAAAAATCTAAACATTTGTTTGCATTCTGATTTGAGAGACGTGTAGAGTATATTTTAAATACCAATTTAGGCGAAAACATAATTCGAAAATGTTTTCCGAACACGAAGTTACTAGGTTATTAATATCTGGATTTTTAACAAAGTTTGTATAACATAATAGGTATATACAAGTATACATCGAGAGTGAGGGACTGAGGGATGATTCAATTGGTTAGAGCTTTACATATACTCCCTCTGTCCCACATTATTTACAACATTTTGACTGGACACGCTTGTCAATGCACATGTTTGACCGTCAATATCTTTTATTACTACTTTCGTTTCATATTATTTCCAACGATTTGACATAAAGAGTGAGAGAAAAGTGTCTAATCATTGCAATCCTTACAAATAATTGAAACAGAGGTAGAATATATTTACAAAAGCTGTAAAAAGTTTATAGTAAGAAACTATACATTAAAATAGACCCAACAATATCTTACATGATTATATCGGCTTTTATGTAATAACTAAAAAAAATGGTCAAAATGAGATGTGTGAATAGTGCAAAAGTCAAAACGTTGTAAGTAATTTGGAACAGAGGGCGAATGAAATTTCATACAATACGAAATTCCATTTTTAGACTTTTAGTGATTTTTATTATGGTCTTTTTAGTATGTATTTGTTGTTTCTTTGTTTCTTGTTCTCTTTTTATAGTCTTTGTTATCAAAAAAAAAAAAAAAAAAAAAAAAAAAAAAAAAAAAAAAGAGAGACTTTTAGGGTTCAATTAATCTAGAGAAGTCCACAAAGTGCTTACATCAAAACAAACTTATTTCCAGATCTTTCTACTAACATCTTACTATAAAACGTTTCACATACAAAGCAAAATCAGATAATACATCAAAGAAAAATCTAGATTCTCCTTGATGACAACCGACTCTCCTCCACTATAAATAAACCCATCATTCCTTAGCTTTATGCTCAACACATCAATATACCATCAACAACAACAACACAATATTTCTACAAATTCTCTCATCAAACAAACTTCTTTCATTAATATTACAATCTTTATCACCCACATTGTTAAAAAATTAATACATTTATCTTGATCAAATTTGCATATGGCAAAAGTTGTAATTCCAGTGTTATTCCTAACCATCTTTATAGGACTTGTAGTCCTCCCAGTGAAAGGGTTGGTGCCCTTCACAAGAACAATTTGGGATGAACTCGACGACCCGTTTCGAGTTCTTGAGCAAACTCCGCTTCCTCTTCCTAAAACCAATAATTTCGAATCCTTACGCCTTACCTTATTAGCTAAGGCAGATTGGAAAGAAACTAAAGATGCTCACATTATTAGCCTTGACATTCCTGGCATGAAAAAAGATGATGTCAAGATTGAGGTGGAAGAAAACAGGGTGCTTAAGGTAAGTGGGGAGAGGAAGGCAGAAGAAGAACACGAAGGCAATAAGTGGCACCGAGCTGAGCGTACAACTGGTAAGTTTTGGAGGCAGTTTCGGTTACCTGCTAACGCGGATTTGGATCATATTAAGGCTCATCTTGAAGATGGAGTGTTGAAGATTACAGTGCCTAAGCTCGCCGAGGAGAAGAGGAGGCAGAGTAAGGTTATTGACATTGGTGTTGATGAGTCTAAAGGTGAAGATCTTAAAGCTACCAAGGCTGATATGTAACATGATTTTCTAATTGAATGTCAAATGTTTATGATTGAGGAGTTTTGTTTTACTAATATTATGCAAGTAATGGTGGTTGTATTACATACATTTATCTGTTTGTTTGGTGCATGCCTTTTAAGGGTGTGATCTTAATCTGTTTTTCCCAAACGTATATAAGTATATAATAAGAAATTTCATTTTAGTAATGTATTAATGTATGGTGTTTTGTGTCTTTATTATTGAAAATATGGGATTAGTGAATGATTGAGCATAATACACCATTTATGTCCCACATCTTTTCTTTAACTACTACCTAATTACTCAATTAAACAATAGGAGAAATTTTGTGAATTAAGAGTTTTTGAAAAGGGGATGATTTCTTTTCATCATAGAATAAAAAGAATTTAGAGAAACAGGAGTAGCAATGACTATTCTAGGCTTATGAACATAAATACTGCTCCCTTCGTTCCTGGAGGGTTATGTTTGCCCCTTTTTGGTGTTATCTTTTTAGGGTTACATGTTGATTAATTCTTAAATTTAAATAATAAATATTTTTTATACATTTTTTTTCACACATACATATTTTCCATGCAAGTATCCATATTTATCAAAAAAATTTACGTACTCCTAATACAACTTTCTATTTACAAAAAAACAAAAAAAAAAAAAAAAAAAAAAAAAAAAAATCACCTACTCCTTATATAAATATTCTTATTTTCAAAGTTAATTTAATGCTTGATTTCCACTATCTCATTTGCCTTCGTTAACCGTGAAAAATCACTAAACATAACCTTCCTTTGATCGGGATCAAAGGGAGTACTCGTATAGAGTTAAATGCAAATATAGAGGGGATTAAATAAATGTTAGAGGGACAAAAAACAAATATATTGCCCGTAAATAATAAGTAGGTTTGGTTATGTTATGAACATAATTAATAGACTTGAGGCATTTTTTTCAACATTTATTATCATCTGAAACACAAATCCAACCTAAATAAACAGTTAATTGAGATAATATAACAAGTTAATATAGAGTTTCTCATGAGAAAGTATTTCCTTTGCAATAAAAAAGAATTAGATAGAAGCCCGTGCGATGCACGGTTTTTTCATCTAAAATTTTTAATTATTTGATTTATTGTATTTAATAATTTCAAATAAAATTACAAAAGTCTAATATTTATTTTTTTTTACTATAATTTATAATGCTTTTATTAAATATAAATAAATTGTAAATATGATATTTTTTCTGTTATATAAAATCTTTAATGTGACATGATAAATTTTTAATAATTTAAATCTTAAATCATTATTCATTGTTTTACCATATCTCCACGAAATGTTAGCCAAACTGAAATTGATATAAATTAAATCTTTACATTTATATGAAATAAATCAATATATTTACCAATAAAAGAAAAATTGTTGCGATATAAAATCAAATCTATGCATTGGAATTTTTTCATCATCTTCAAAAATAACCAAAGCCATCCATATATTAAGTAAACAACATCTAATCGTATGCCACTACATAAACAAATAATCGTTAAGTATCCTAAATAAATACAATGTAACTAATAATTACAAATATAAATTTAAACATAAGATTTTAAAAATTACCCGAACATTGATGACCTAAAACTAACACAAAATTCGCTTGATGGGGTTTTGTTTTGATACGAAATTTTATTTGTGTTTAGTATATTTTTTTTTGGATTTCTTATACTCGTAGTATTGAATTAATAAATTTATTTTTTCCTATATTTTTACTTTATTTTTTTCATTAAAATAATTTAATTTGTGGATTATAATCTACGTGGCATTAAAATTTATACGAAATTTTATTTGTGTTTAGTATATTTTTTTTGGATTTTTTTTGGATTTCTTATACTCGTAGTATTGAATTAAGTAATTTATCTTTTCCTATATTTTTACTTTATTTTTTTCATTAAAATAATTTAATTCGTGGATTATAATCTACGTGGCATTAAAATTTTAGATATATTAAATCTAATTCGTTACTTTTATCTAGGTGGTGGACATAATTTTTTAATACATAAATAAAATACAAATCTTTCTTCTTATTGATCGAAATAAGTATATTTCTTATGTGGCGCTCCGAATACTCTCCAGAAATACATACTTTAATTATATAATATAATATTAAATTGGCCAAAATGTACACAATAGTCGATACTATCAGACTACCAGCTCATTGATAATTCTAATTGGTGAACAGGCGAAAATGTTGCTCTATACATATACCTCACTTTCTATTTGCTGCTAAATACATTATGGCAGAAGCGGGTTACATATTTACATTTCATTATATATATACATATCTACAATTAATTGGAAAAACATTGGTCTATACTCTATAATAGAGGATGCCTAGAAAAGAAAGAATGAAATAATGAGAAAATTCAATTTTGAGTACCAATAAAGAAAGAATGATCAGATTGCACCAAGATATGCATGCTGATAAATATGTTCAACTCTTTCGTTTCTACTTGAGTAAACAGTTGACAGATATCAGCCATCAGATATTTCACTCTATATGTCGAGGCTCTCTATTGGCATCCTCTGCCTGCATAAGAAAAGATTTAAGTTTAGATATCGTAAGAAATAAAATACAAAATACGAATTAGACACGTCTCTAAGCAAATATGCTTATTTTGATAGAACAGATGTGAAGAAGTCTATTGGGCATCGAACTTAGTAGCTAGGTAGTATAGATTGAAATACTACCTTTGTTTTTTTAGATGACACCATTTGACTTTTACACTATTCACCTATACTTTGACTAGCTTTTGTGATTTATACCTACGATAAAATATAGTCAGGTGGGATCTTGTTTGAATCATCTCAATGTAGTAAATATATACAAGTAAATATTTTGTACACGGTAACACTAACTGACCAGCAGCAGTCCCTTAAAGAACATACCCCTATTCAATTTAAGGTTCTATAGACCCAAACACCAACATGGTAAATGTTAACGAGAAATGTAGTCGTGTGAACAGAGGAAGTAGTACAAAGTGATAAGAGGAAAATTTTTACTAGAAAAAAAAAAGGAAAAAAAAAAAAAAAAGAAAAAACACTGTTTAAGAAGTCTAAAAACAACAGATTTAAAAGAGCAAAACTAAAGTGAAACAGAAGTCGGACGTTCCTTTATTATTATTGTGTGATTAGAAGGGTGGGTTTGTGGGAGTCAAGGGAGGGAGAAGCTGAAGCGATAAAGTAAACATGAGGCACAAAGGGAATCACAGCTGTAGCGAGTAGGATGGTAAGGATGGAACCTCCTACTTGCCAGTAGTCAGTACCCACAACTTATTGAAAATCCTGTTTTAAGTAAAGATCTGGATGGGAAAATTCTACCAAATAACGCCTCTTCAGTTATTTTATTCAAACATCAATTCTGTTAATTTCAGCAAATCACATACAAAAACAATATAAGTGATTTGCACACAGTTCTCATGAATCTTACCCTCTATATGGACCCAAAACCCCCAACCAAACAAGCTTGCAAATACCATCAGTTTATACTTTTTAGTTACTCATAGTGCAGGATACTGACAATTGAGCAAGTAGGAGGGTGCTATGAAAAGAGATGAAAAGAGAGAAGAATAACAGTTAATCTTATCACTTTTTACAAGAACATATTATCTGTAATCTACACAGCTGAATTTACAGCTAAGCTCAGGAACAATCTCATGTTAGACCTAGCAAAATTCAGTGAACAAGATGTTCATACTAAAATGATAAGCTGACTTGCATATTATTCGTTCAACATAAAAAAAAGCAAATGAAATAAGAGACTCACCAACTTTCGGGTTCTATGTAATTGTGCCTGCCGATGCAGATGTACATGCCTTTTTGTGTGATGAAGATTTATATGCTGTGATCGGCAGCGTTGGCGAGATGGTTTCTGGATGAACTCCTTTAAGTGGTTATAAATACTGCACATCACAGAAGCCTAGTTAAATTATGCCAACAAAATGGGAATGATAAGAGCCCTCTGTACAATTCTCCCAGGAAAACCTACTCAGCATTAAATTTCAGGCTTAGCCTGAATAAGAGATTAATATGCCCATTTATAGAATAAATCCCAGAAAATCAATAATAGCACTAAAACACAGAGACAAACCAGCAGTAATATTAGCTATAATATTGTATTGTAGTATCATGTCAGCTACCTAGGCAAACCTCTCCAGCAACACAAAATAAAAGAGACGCGAGCTTTATTTTACACTATATATTTTATCATATAAACTTTTTTTTTACAGAAATCCAAAATGAAATACTTGAATAATTCACAAGATGTCTCAAGGTGTCTACAATACATATTTTTTGAACCCCTCAGACTAGATTTTGTCGGACAGTTGCTGAGTATGTAAAAGCCAAAATGAGATCCAATTGGATAGAGAGGTCCCACAGGCTGGTGAAAGAGTTGCAGTATATAAGCATAGAATTCTGTAACAATGATGCTGTAGTTTTCCCCAAGAAGTATATTTATTGCTTGTTTTGGAAGAATAAATATTAAAGGCCTTAATAATGCAGATTCAGCCTCAGAAGAAGATATACTAGCAGAAGAATATGAAAACTTACTATATAGCATCAAAAAGGTAACTGTCAAGGAAAATGCAGCAGCATGATGGCAGGTCTGATTATATTCCAGGATACAATATAAAATCTACTGTTTCTGAGGCTTATCATCTTGTTACCTTTATATTATTTAAAAAAGAAAAAATCAAAACAGTAAAGAGTTGATTTTGATCTGATAGACTGATACACAAAAGGGTCGTGTTTGGTACTGATTTGCAAATGGCTATGACTTGTTAAAAAGGAAGAGCAACTCAGACAATTATATAGAGTATTTTTCACAAAATACTATAAAGGAAAATGATATATTTAAACCTTGTAGGGGTCACGCGAAAATAAACCAAAGAAATCCTTCACTCAGAGAATCATTAGGATAAGGGGAGCAGCATTTTAGATATTTAGGCACTGAAATATTATTATACTCTAGCAGCTATAGTGATATAAATACTACATTTATACAATCACTCAAAATTTTGAATGGGTATATATAGCAATGGTTTAAAATTGGAGAAGTTTTGCATTACATACCTAAGTCGATGCCTGTTGCAAGCTGTGAAGAAAGCAACAAAACCATTCAAAATGCTCCTAACAGCACGGAAAACCTACAAGATAAAATATATAGCTGTTATCAAACCAGGAAGAAGAGAGGATCAGAAAATTCAAGCTACGCTAAGCAAAATTTTTGCCATGTCAAAACCTTTGAGAACAAGTCATTCCACAGTGAGCGCCACATTGAGACCTCATATGTTGTTTTTACAGTTGCCTCGGTAGTTGATGCAATATTGATTATGCTACAAGCAGATGACCACAATTCTCCAAACATTTCATATACAATGGTACAGACATAGGCTATGAAACTGAACAATGCAAGGACCAAGCGAACTGGCGCATTAAAAATTTCCCAGCAGGCCCAAAAAATCGGCAATATGATGGAGATTGCTGCAACAATTCCAAAACACATCATCAATACTTTTATCAAATCAAAGCTCCACATAAATTATCACTATATTATCAACAACAGAAAAACCTTTTATAGGCTAAAAAATTACCTGTGGTGTAGACGAATGAAATGAGCAACCAGATTGGCAATAATACTATCTCGACTACACCAACAACAAAACTGTATGAAGTTCCGAGAACAATGCAGATGAATGAAAATAAGCTCTCTGACATCTCAATACACGCACTCCAGAACGGATGAAAGAATTTGGAAAATTTTATAAGTGGCTCAACAATTGGCTGAGCAAAAACAGAAAAAAATGATCTCATAGTACGTGTTATCATTAGAAGCCATTTAACAGCCTTCTCAAAATTATGCAAGAATAACATTGTCCCCAAATACTTGACCCTTGATGCCATCTCCCAAGTCTCTATCCAATCAAAGATAGGTCCAAGCAAACGAGATGCTGTTGCCTTAAGAAGTGGCACATTCTTGTATAAGTCGTAAAATCCGATCATAACAGTGGTAATTGAAATGATCACGTATAAAGCTCTGGCTAGAGGACACATCCACGGACGATAAAGATGGCAAAAGACAGGGTATGATTGAAGAAATATCACCCAAGATGGAAGCCCAGATTCTAAGAGAGTAAGCAAGCGCAGGTCACCCATAATTATGTCCTTTAACTTGAAAGGAAGATCTTTGTCATTAAATCTATATATAAGCAAGATATCTTTGTATTCAGTCGCTTCAATGGTATTCTCAAAATTCTCAAATGGGTCAAAAGTCCTCTTTGGAGTCTTAGGAGTTTCCTCAGAGTAGGTATCAGCTTCAATTCCAGAGCTGCTAGATCGAATGACTTTTCTTCTTTTATAAGGTACGTTAGAAGGTGGTGGTGTATGCAAGATACTAGTGTCATTTTCAGATCCTGTGGGACATGCATCAAACCCAACTGAAATACCATAGGAAGATTCATTCTCCACTACAGCATCATAAAAACAAGTAGTCTCTTCATCCGAGAAATCCTCCTTGGCATCATGGAACACTTCATCTGTAAAAGGTAGAAAAGCAATAAATGAAGATTAAACAAGAAGAAAGTTGAAAGTTTCTAGAAATACAAAACTAGATCTTCTGCTTGTTAAACCAACCATAAGTAACAACTGGACACTAAAAGTGACTTCTAAATAATGGATGGCCATTGAGTATTTCAATTTTATAGTGGAATTTAATTTACTACCTGAACAGGAACCATTAATTAACAAAATGTGCAGCAAAAAGCACTTTGCAGGCACCAACAACCCAATAGAAATCCCGAAGAAGCAGAGTGTTTTCTTTTATTTTATTTTTTTTATTGATAGGGAAGAAGCAGATTTTTAAAGGTCAACATGTAAGAAACCTTACTCCTAAATATTCAATGATTATAAAGAAGCTTTTTATAAAAAAGGCTAGCAATTTTATATGTAATCAAAATTAAAATACGGAGCTGTGGAGCGGTTAAAATTTAAAACTAATATGAGATATTTATCTCCTTCGTTCATGCCTTTTCTCTATCACTTGCCCTTTTCCCTCTGGTGTGAAGTTCTGATTGAGGTTTTTTTTAGTGGGTTACTCTAATGATTGATTGTTTAGTCAATTCATAATTATATTTGAGCCAAACTTAATTATGTAAAAACTTGGTTTATTAAGCCATAAATGTGTCAGGTTAACAGTTGCCTTGTTTTGTATTTCATTTTTTAACCCAGCCAATTAAATATATTATGTGGATATGTTTTTATATGCCACCGGAATGTCAAATTAGTTGGACCTATGTAAAAGAGAGAGAGAGAGAGAGAGAGAGAGAGAGAGAGAGAGAGAGAGAGAGAGAGAGAGAGAGAGAGAGAGAGAGAGGTTGTCAATGGAGATTGAATAAGGAGGAAGGGAGATGAGGAAATCAAAGAATGCAAAGGGATACATTTATAGAAGGGAAAGAGAGAGTAAAGTGGCAATTGAGATATAGGGTGGATAGAAAGTTGGGTAAGATGCAAGTTTAAATATGCCCAACTAAAGGAGATAAAAACAGGTGGTGTTTTAAATGATCAATCAATCAATCAAAGCCTTAATCCCATAAGCAGGGTCGGCTACATGAACCAAAAGTGATTATTTCGCATAGTCATTCACAAAAATCCTCTTCCTCCATCACTTGCGATCAAATACATCATTCTCATGCAAATCCATATGCCTCATATCCTTCCTAACTCCTTCCAATCAAGTCATTTTCGGTCTCCCTCTAGGGCCACTACCTCGTTTAACCACTCCATGATCCCACTCTTCCATTCTTTGTATCGAGGTACCCTGGGGACGTCATCTTACATGCCCGAACCAACGCAGGTAATTTTCCCTAATTTGTCTGCAATGCCTGCAACACCCACTTTCTTACAATTAACTTCATTTTTTATTCTATCTCTTAGAATGTTCCCGCACATCCGTCTTAACATGCGAATTTATGTAACCCCAATCTTTTAATGTGCTTCTTATTAGAAGTCCAACATCCTATACCATAGAGCAACATGGGTCTTATGGTGGTTCTACAGAATTTCCCCTTCAACTATAAAGGAATGCTTCAGTTTCATAACACTCTTGGTGACTGCTCTCCATTTAAGCTACCAAGACTTAATCATGTGGGCCACGTCTTGATCAATATCACCATTTTTTTTTATGATCAACCCAATATATTTAAAACACTCACTCGTGGTCAATTCTAGGGGTGAAAGTTCGGTTTGCGGTTTGAATTTACACCAAACCGAATCCAAACCGAATTAATTCGGTTTTGGATTTTTGAAACCGAATTTGGATTTCCAATCCAATCCAAACCGTATTAATTCGGTTTGGAAATTGAATCCAAACCGAACCGAACTTTGTTAGAGAAATTCAAGCAAATTCAAAATATAATAAGTTTAATTCAAGCAAAACAAAGAGTAATTACCAAATTATAAAGAAAATGAACATAATTTGGGAAATTTAATCCAAATTCAAGCAAAATCAAAATATCATAAGCAAATTCATCCCGCAACAAATTTTCTATATAATCTAACAACACCACCGCAAATTTTAAATTAAAAACAAACTAAATCGAAGTCGAGAGCGAGAGCGATGGATCATTGGAGAAGACAAAGAGTGAGAGCCGTGGAGAAGACCAAGAGTGAGAGCGGTGGAGAAGCCTGACTAGCGGTGCTTAGCGGATGATTGACTAGTCGGTGGTCGAAGAAGTCTGAGAATGAACGCCGGTGGACGGAAGGGAGGTAAGAAAGGGAAAATTGTAAAAGAGGGACGAGATTATTAGGGGCTTAGGGTTGCCGCAACCCGCAAGTGAGTGTGAAAGAGTGAAAAAGGGAAAAGGGATTAGGGTTTCTATTTAAGAGGCTTATATATGAAGGGGAAATGGGCTAGGTAATTGGGCTTATTAGAATTTCGGTTTCAAATTTCGGTTTTTGGAGCCTGAAACCGAAACCGATCCGCAATCCATATTTTTTTAAAATCTCAAACAATCCAAACCGAATTGTTAATTCGGTTTGCGGATTTAATCCATATTACTTTCACCCCTAGTCAATTCCTTTATGTCCAAACTCACTACATCATTGCTTGTCCCCCTTTGTGTACCAAATCGACATACCAAATATTTGGTCTTACTCCAACTTAGCTTAAACCCTCTAGATTCCAACCTTCATTTGGCATTAATTACTAATTAAAGAAATAAAGGTACTAACTCTCATATTGACAACAGACACACGTTACAAACCAAATGAAGTGCACCAATAGCAACAACGACAATAATGCCTTAGTCCCAAGATCAATATATGGGGCATGACATTGATGCCAAGATCACATAAAAAATCCCATAGCACTCTTCCACTTCAACCAACCTGTTTTGATTGTATGAGCAACATCTCCATCCAATTCTTCATCCTTTTATATGATGTATCCTAGATATCAGAATATAAACTTAGTTAACAACCTTGCAAACATTTTTCCATCTTAACAGCAAGGCAGAAGCTAAGGTTTCCCAGCAATAGATTTAGGCAAATCACTAGATATCACATTTGGATTATACAGTTCTACACAATAAATTTTCTAGCACTATTATCCTCTCTTAACCCCTCCATGTAGCATCTCAGTAGTAATTGTCATAGATGTCAAAGTAAATAAAGAACTAAGCTAAAATCACAAACTCAGGAATCAGAAACATGTATCTTATGTCAGCATAGCACCCTGATTCGTCATTAAAAGACAACAATCTCAGTGAAGAGTGAAAAAAATAAACTACCATCTGGAGACTTTTCATAGCATATAGGTAACATGATTTCCTACTGTTCTGCTCAATAACTCCCCCCACCCCCCCCCCCCCAAAGAAAAAAAAAGAGAGAAAGAAGAGGATATCTGGGAACGATGTCTTGTTTGAAAAGATTACCAGCAGTAGATAGAAGATAATCTTTCAAAAGGTTCTGCTCATGCTCTGTTCCTGAGAACCAAGAAGAAATGCAGCCTACAGCTTGCAATATACTGCTGAATTCCCATCTTCTCATAAATTTGGTTTCTATTGCCAAAGATGTGTCAGTCTGCAAGCAGATGTAATATATCAACGAATCAAATAAAGTTAATTATATTACATAGATACAACTAGCTAATCCAGCAAAAGGAAACAGAGAAGAAAAACCTGTAGTTCATTTAGATAATTGATACCACGAACATCATCCCAAGAGACTTCAAATATAATCAACCCAAACAAGGTCCTATGGAGCTCCTGATTTAACTGCAAGGAGTATTTAAGCTTCTTTACAGGTAACAGAGCCCTCTTTTGTGATAACGTGGCAGCATCAATCAGCGAAAACCATCTCTCTGAAATCTTTGAATTAGTAGACTTGGTGCATTGGTTAGAATTAATTGCTTTGTTGGTAGCCTTTTTCTCTAATTTCTCTTTACCAATATTCCTCTTTTTACGAGCACTACTGTTAGCAAATGGGGACAACCTGGACTGTGCCAAAGCAAATACAACTCTGTCAGGTCTGATTCGATTAGCACAAGAGAACAAAGCCATGCACTTATATTACCTTAGTAACCATCAATTGCCACAAGTGTGCACGACGTGATCCAAGACCTTCAAGCCATGGTCTATTGTCCACTAAAATATAAAATGTGTTGCTTTCAGTAGCCAGGAAAATGTTAAGATGGGAAAGATAAGACTGCAAATCCCTGAAATATAAAGCAAAGCCAACGTAGCAAAGAGAAAACAATGTCTTAGTTCTTATAATAAATAAACCAGTAAATTTCATATTGCTCAATGAATCTAATACGGGAAATTGGCATGGCTTGAAGGAAAGAAAAGACTCGACTTAGTTCTAATAAGCTCATATAATAAATAAACACGAGAGAACAAGGCCATGAGCTTATATTACCTTAGTAACCAGTGTTATTAATTAATTTGCTCATTTACACCCTCAAATGTCTTCCTTAAAATGCATGTCAAAGCTCAAAGTGCTACATTGCATGTAATATGAAATGGAGGAAGCATTTAATTTGTACTTCCTTCGATCCTAAATTTTTTCCCATTAGGAATCTAGACAAGTTTCACAACTTTAAGAGTATCTTCTTATTTTTTTCCAATATATAAGGAAAAAAAAATAGTCAAGTGGGATCTTTTATAATTCGTTTTTAATGAGTACTTGGGTACATTCTTAGAAAATCAAGTACTTATAGTTTTACTATGCAATTAAAGCTATTCACGATTCACAATATGCATTGGTAAACATGTCAAAAGGAAATGAGAAGAACATAAAGAATCGAAGGGAGTATTTCGTATGTGTGTTTCTATAAAGGTTTATAGCAGAAATTTGAATTTGTACCAGCATTTTATTTTACTACCTCCGTTAACCGTTATTTGCAACAAAGGGGGTCTGCACGGACTCCTAGGCAAAAGTTTTAAAGCATGATTATAGAAAATTAAGGGCATGTGGTTAAATATTAATCCAACCCAAAAAAAAAAGAAAAAAACAAATTCAACTAAAATTAAACTAATAACCCAACACCACTAGCACCACCCTGCAGCACCGAAACCACCACCACCACCCAGTGGCACCGAAACAACCAAGCAACCACAAAACCACCGCCGCAACCACCGAACCCACGAAACCACCCGCTACCGCACCCACAATACCACCAACCCACCACCCACCGCACCCACAAACCCACCACCCACGATCTGCACCCACGAACCCACCACCACACCCACGAACACAAGAACCCACCACCACCGCACCAACGAACCCACGAAAACCCACATATGTGGAAAAGTAATGGGAATAGGGTTGGAGGAGGAGAGAGAAAAATAATGGGGATAAGGAAGAAGATGAAGAAATTTTATGATGAAGGAAAGGAGATTTACCCGGAACAACCACCGCCACCACCACACGCCACACAGAACCACCACCACCACCTACGCCACCCACAAATCACCGAAAGTCACCCACAAACCACCAAAATCCACCTAAGAATCACGAAAACCACACAAGAACCACGAAAACCACCCTAGAACCAACAGATCTAAAACCCAAAAATCAAACCCATCCAGAAACTACCCCCACAAAACCGCCCAAAACCACCACCATCGACACCCACCCACGAAGCAACCATCCAAGAACCACGAAATAACCACCCACAAACCACCAACACCCACCCACGAACCACAAAAACCACCCACAAACAACAACTACCACCAGATTTACCGAACCCACCCACAAACCACCAACAGCCACCCACGAACGAACTAACTGAGATGAGAGATGACAATGAAGAAGATGATGAGAGATGAGAGATGAAGAAGGAAGAAGATGAGAGATGATGATGATGATGATAGGAAGAAGATGAAGATCGAAGAAGATGAGAGATGATGATGAACTGAGAGATGAAGATGGAGGAGAGAGATGGTGGGGGGATGAAATTAGGGATTGATCTGATTTTTTTGGGGGAAAAGCTTAGATAATTAAGTTAGATTAGGGCTATAATAATTTGTAATTATGTGTAGTATTATGTGTTAATAATTTTTAAAAGAGGATATTTTGGTCATTTTACCATAAAAAAGTTACTATATTAGGAAAGAAATAGTTTTGTTGCAAATAATAGATAGCACCCTTTTTTAGTAAATGTTGCAAATAACTGTTAACGGAGGTAGTATTATTTTACATAAAAAAAAAATGGCCAAAACCAAACAAATAGCTCCAAAATCAGACTAGACCAGAATTTTCAAATCTACACCAGTTTGGACCAGAAATATGCCAGTCCAATCCTAAATATAAAAAAATCAGGGAATCTAGTTCCAATGTGGTTTGGGATTGGTGTACAGTCCTACTCTCATCCCAACCTAATCAATCAATCAATCAAAGCCTTAATCCCATAAGTGGGGTCGGTTACATGAACCAAAGTGATTATTTCGTATATTCATCCACCAAAATATTCCTCCTCCATCCTTTACGATCAAAACCTCATTCTCATGCAAGTCCATATGCTTGATATCGTTCTTAACTCCTTCCAACCACATCATTTTCAGTCTCCCTCTACCTCGTTTAACATCTCCATGATCCCACTCTTCCACTCTTCGTATGCGTCTCCGTCTTACATGCACAAACCAACATAGGCGATTTTCCTTAATTTTCCTCTTCTCATCCCAACCTACTATATACCTTAATTTTTGTCTCCAAAGCTAACAGTAAAATTATCTAATCATGGCCAGAGGGAGTACAAACAAAGCATACGGCAAAAGCTCCGACTAGTAACGCACAAACTCAATGATATGCTTACACATCCAATAATAATAATAATAACCCCTTACATAATCAGCAAATTTACACAAAAGAACCTAACTTTTCTTTCAGATGTCGAATTGTGACATTGTCATTTCTTGACTCTCGCAGATTGCAAATATAAATAAATTTCATTATGATTTCTCTAGGGGTGCATATAAGAACAATTTGTACTTCAAGAATTGCTTTAAGTGAGCAGATTCAGAAGAGACATACCCATCTACTGCATGCTCCAAAAGCCATCTTTCCCTTTTTCCTTATCTTATAACAAGAAAAGAGAGCTAGGAACCCCTCTCAACAGTCCACACTCGACAAGCCCCACATTGAGCTCCTAAGAACCTACTCAACTCCATATAAGTCACAAGTTTCCTAATTAGCCTCTTCTTGAAAATAATTATATACACCCAGATGCACCATGCACCCAAGAGTATTTTTTGCTCATTTGATGGTTAAATGAGCCAACAATACCCTAGGTGCACCGTGCACCACGGGTGTACATGACAAACTCTTGCCTCTTCTTGCGGACTAGCGGCGACACCAATACGACATCTAAACCATTGCAAGACATGCTTGTTTGATCATGATATGCACACATTCACTTATACTTCTTCTCATTGCATAAAAAAAACTTATACTTTTTTTTTTTTTTTTTTGAAAGGAAAAAAACTTATACTTTATCTCAAGATTATTGCTTTAATATAGTTGAAGCTTTAGGAAAAAACAATAAAAATTTGCTTTATATAATTGAAACCAGTATGCCATGCGATTACTCACAAATGTTCTTTAAAAGGCCTGATATTTCGAAATCAGAAAGACATTACGGAATTGAGATCAAAGTTGTAAAATTACCCGATTTGCAAGCTTGTCAAGGGGAAAATATATTGTCCATTATCCAAATTCCCCATCAAAATCTTCCGAATTTTCAGCCAATTCACCAGCAATCACTGCCCAATTTCAACCAAAATCTTAACAAAAATTTCCCAAATTTCAAGAATTAATACAAAAACAAAACTAAAATATCACTTACCAAAAAAATTGTTGAATGCAATGACAAGGAAAGTGACGAGGGGAGCGAGAAAAGGCATGACCGCCGAACTTCATACCATAATTGAATTGAATTGAATGCAATCATAAATTAAAGTGGTAATTATACAGTGCACAAAAACCTAGAATCAGAAAAGATATTAAATTGAATTAAATGAACTTATAATTAATCAAATAATGAGGAGAGAGAATTAAGGTTTGCTTGTAAGAAGTGGAAAAGTGAGAAGAGGTTAGATGCCTCACGTCAAAAAGACTCCATTAAAGAGAGCTTCAAAGAGGAGACAGAGAAAATGATGTATTATGAATTTATGATTATGTAACAGCCGCAAAGATTTGTATTTTTTCTGCTGGTATTTGTATTTTTCTGTTATTTCTTAACAATAATAATTAAAGACAGATGAGAGAGAAATGGGAGGTAAGTCGGTTGTTAATTATAGAATGGTGAAAAATCCGGAAGATACAGAAGGGAAGAAGAGTCGGCAATTATAACAAGTTACAATAGTTGTTGGAGAAAGGTGAAAAAGTGCTACAGTAGCAATTTTTTATAACGAATATGTCCTTTAAATTTAAGGCATGTTCACTTTATTTATCCCCTGCGTCTTATAAGGGATTTGTTAAACATCGCACACAAATTACTACATAAAGCCCACAAAATTCACTTGGTTTGACAATATTGCCCTTGACCTAAAAAAAAAAACACTCACACTCTCATCGCTCATCTTCTTTCAACCTCTCTAAAAAAAAAATTTCAAACAACGGCAATGTCGAGGCGGCAAGGCAAGGAATTTGCGGCGGCGGCGGAGGGAAGGAGGTCCCAAGGAGGCAAGGTACAATTTGTAAAAAAAAAAAAAAGGGAAAACCGTCGTACAATTTGTAAATTCTTCCTCCGTCACGAAATTTATAAACGTTACCTCTAAGGGGGACAGCCTGTCCAGCAATAACCGTATCGATCGGAGGCGGTCAACGGACTTCTTCTCCGAGCGCGGACTCCACGCACAAGCACGCGGCATCCCCTCATCAATAGGAACCGGGTCACGATGTGGTCGCAATGCAGGAAAGTACTCGTATATCCAGGTCTGCAATAGAGTCAGACACCCAGTGATACCTGCCGCGTCAGCCCGACTCGCAAATCCTAGTTGGCGATACAAATACGCCAACGTAGCCGATCCCCAGGAAAACTGGCCTACACTGTCGGGGTCACACGCCTCTACTATGTCGCGTGGCCTGAGCTTGTTTCCGCCGCTCTTATCCGGAAACAAGGTACATCCGAGGAGTAGAAAAACATAAGCACTCAGCTGTGCGTCGTGCGTCCTACGTGCACTGGGGTACAAACACCGCTGCAACACGGATGCGATCTTCACACCTCCGTGTTCCCAAACACCTAGCGCCTCGGTGTACAGTGCAGCCCTGTCCACCGCCAACAACTCCGCCAGCAAATCTGCCTGATCCGCATCAGCCACAGCACAAAGTCGTTTACCCTCAACACGAATCCCCAGAATGGCCTCGACGTCATGTAACATGATCGTCATCTCACCGAACGGAAGGTGGAAAGAGTTTGTATCCGGCTGCCATCGCTCAATGAAAGCCGTGATCAGCGTACTGTCAATCTTATCGTGCATGGTGGCAGGAACGTGATTCACCCCAGTGCCCTCCAGTCGCTCGAACATCTCGCTCTCCGCCGGCCAAGCCTCAGCCCATGTACGCAAAAAGCTACAAGTCTTTTCCCGGGTATGACATTTCAACAACCCCGTAACTGAAGGCCTCTCCTGGTCCTCCCAAATACGGGCAGCTATGTGTCCTAGAAAGCTAGGAATCACACTCCCGTCAACAGGCCCACCGGGCACCTCACTCCTAACAACCCAAGAATCATTACCGCCCCTCGACCGTTTCATGCTTGCCCCAGATACAGTGGACGCAGATGATGTGCCAGATCTACTAACAAACCTACCACCCCTACCCTTACGCACCTCCACCATATGTGTCTCGTACATGTCATCAACCCTCTGACTGAATGGACCGTAATCATCATACGGTCCACTGCCATCGTCCACATCCTCATCCTCATCTGCGCCCTCCTCCTGCTCCTCCTCCTGGTCACCCTCCTCAGCATCATCATCGTCATCGTCATCCTCATCCCGACGGTGGATCCGTTCTCTACGAGCTGAGGCCGAAATACCACGGGATCTGACATGTCTATGCCCCGAGCTCTCCACTGAATAGCTTCTACTAAGAAGCTCTACATTCTTCCTCGCACCATGACGACCCAGTGAATTCTACACAAAATTTTAAAATATATAAACATACAAAAATTTATACGAAAAATAGCTACCACTACCCAAATCAAATAAACTAAAAACATACTAACAAATTAACATAATTATGAAATTAACAAAACACTTAAATAAAAATAATAGAATAAAAAATACACTTAGAAAGGAAATAAAACCAACACAGAAGAATATATATAAACATAAATAATTCATTCCCAATTAAAATAAATTAACTAACCAAAAACAATATCAATAATAAAATTTAAAATAAATTAACTAACCAAAAACAATATCAAAGTCACAAAAAAATATAAAAACAAATCAAAATAGAGAATAAAAATAAAAATGTACAAAAAAACAAACAAATAATTGTAAACAAAATATAAACATAGAAAAAATACAACAAAATTGAAAAAATTTATAAAAATAAACAACAAAATATAAAAACAATTCAAAAAGATATTACACAAAAAAAAAAATTTAAAAACAATATTTTAAAACAAATATAAAAAAAAAAGAAAAAGGGGGGGGGGCGCCTTTGCTAGACGCCTAGCCAGCGATGGTGGCGCCAGCTGCAGACGCCGCCACCAGTGGGCTGGCGCCTGGGCTGGACGCCACAGCCACGGCTGAGGCGCCTTGAATAAACGCCACCCAGCCACCTACCACCCCTACACAGCGATGGTGGCGTTTATTCAAGGCGCCTCAGCCGTGGCTGTGGCGTCCAGCCCAGGCGCCAGCCCACTGGTGGCGGCGTCTGCAGCTGGCGCCACCATCGCTGGCTGGGCGTCCAGCAAAGGCGCCCCCCCCCCTTTTTTCTTTTTTTTTTATATTTGTTTTTAAATATTGTTTTTAAATTTTTTTTTTGTGTAATATCTTTTTGAATTGTTTTTATATTTTGTTGTTTATTTTTATAAATTTTTTCAATTTTGTTGTATTTTTTCTATGTTTATATTTTGTTTACAATTATTTGTTTGTTTTTTTGTACATTTTTATTTTTATTCTCTATTTTGATTTGTTTTTATATTTTTTGTGACTTTGATATTGTTTTTGGTTAGTTAATTTATTTTAAATTTTATTATTGATATTGTTTTTGGTTAGTTAATTTATTTTAATTGGGAATGAATTATTTATGTTTATATATATTCTTCTGTGTTGGTTTTATTTCCTTTCTAAGTGTATTTTTTATTCTATTATTTTTATTTAAGTGTTTTGTTAATTTCTTAATTATGTTAATTTGTTAGTATGTTTTTAGTTTATTTGATTTGGGTAGTGGTAGCTATTTCTCGTATAAATTTTTGTATGTTTATATATTTTAAAATTTTGTGTAGAATTCACTGGGTCGTCATGGTGCGAGGAAGAATGTAGAGCTTCTTAGTAGAAGCTATTCAGTGGAGAGCTCGGGGCATAGACATGTCAGATCCCGTGGTATTTCGGCCTCAGCTCGTAGAGAACGGATCCACCGTCGGGATGAGGATGACGATGACGATGATGATGCTGAGGAGGGTGACCAGGAGGAGGAGCAGGAGGAGGGCGCAGATGAGGATGAGGATGTGGACGATGGCAGTGGACCGTATGATGATTACGGTCCATTCAGTCAGAGGGTTGATGACATGTACGAGACACATATGGTGGAGGTGCGTAAGGGTAGGGGTGGTAGGTTTGTTAGTAGATCTGGCACATCATCTGCGTCCACTGTATCTGGGGCAAGCATGAAACGGTCGAGGGGCGGTAATGATTCTTGGGTTGTTAGGAGTGAGGTGCCCGGTGGGCCTGTTGACGGGAGTGTGATTCCTAGCTTTCTAGGACACATAGCTGCCCGTATTTGGGAGGACCAGGAGAGGCCTTCAGTTACGGGGTTGTTGAAATGTCATACCCGGGAAAAGACTTGTAGCTTTTTGCGTACATGGGCTGAGGCTTGGCCGGCGGAGAGCGAGATGTTCGAGCGACTGGAGGGCACTGGGGTGAATCACGTTCCTGCCACCATGCACGATAAGATTGACAGTACGCTGATCACGGCTTTCATTGAGCGATGGCAGCCGGATACAAACTCTTTCCACCTTCCGTTCGGTGAGATGACGATCATGTTACATGACGTCGAGGCCATTCTGGGGATTCGTGTTGAGGGTAAACGACTTTGTGCTGTGGCTGATGCGGATCAGGCAGATTTGCTGGCGGAGTTGTTGGCGGTGGACAGGGCTGCACTGTACACCGAGGCGCTAGGTGTTTGGGAACACGGAGGTGTGAAGATCGCATCCGTGTTGCAGCGGTGTTTGTACCCCAGTGCACGTAGGACGCACGACGCACAGCTGAGTGCTTATGTTTTTCTACTCCTCGGATGTACCTTGTTTCCGGATAAGAGCGGCGGAAACAAGCTCAGGCCACGCGACATAGTAGAGGCGTGTGACCCCGACAGTGTAGGCCAGTTTTCCTGGGGATCGGCTACGTTGGCGTATTTGTATCGCCAACTAGGATTTGCGAGTCGGGCTGACGCGGCAGGTATCACTGGGTGTCTGACTCTATTGCAGACCTGGATATACGAGTACTTTCCTGCATTGCGACCACATCGTGACCCGGTTCCTATTGATGAGGGGATGCCGCGTGCTTGTGCGTGGAGTCCGCGCTCGGAGAAGAAGTCCGTTGACCGCCTCCGATCGATACGGTTATTGCTGGACAGGCTGTCCCCCTTAGAGGTAACGTTTATAAATTGTTTCTACATTTTATTATTTGCCCATATTATATTCATGTTATTAAATTTTAAAACTATGTGCAGGTGAACTGGATGCCTTTCGGCCCGAACCCTAGTGTTAGGGTACCCAGGACCCTGTACAAGGGACTCATTCAGTATCGTGAGATCGTCGAGGCGTACATGTCCCAGCGTTGTCTTCGCCAGCTTGGATTTGTCCAAGTTGTCCCTCCTCCCCCGGCATGCCCGATGAAGGCGGTCCGACCTGCATCGTCGAGGGACTACGTCGTGCAATGGCCGGATATCATGACCGGGACGTGGGACCAGTTTCCGATGGTGGCCCGCTTATGGACTGCGGAGTTGCAGCGGCCGCCCTCTGGGGTTCCTCCCATGTGTGACCATTACTACATGGAATGGTTCAACCGGTATTCGCACCCGAGGTTGATCGCAGATCTCGACCACAGCGATGATGATTATGTGCCACCGCCTACTGCCATGGAAGCGGTATGTCTCATATTATATTTATCGTTGTCTTTTAATTAAGTTTTATATGTTGTTATTGTGTTTCATCTTTTGTTTTTTGTTGTATGCAGTGGATGGGAAAGATAATGCAGGACGTACATAAACTCTCTCTTGAGAAGGACAGCATGAGTGCAACAGGGAGAGCTGTTGTTGATAGTCTGGAACAGACCCTTGCGCAGTGGGAGTCGTCGTCGAGGAGGG